CAGACAAAGGGATAAAGAAGATGTGATACATATACACAATGGAATACTACTCAGCCATAGAAAGGAGTGAAATTGGGTCATTTGCAGAGACAGGGACGGACCTAGAGCCTGTCATACAGAGTGAAGTAAGTCAGAAAGGGAAAAACAAATATCGTATATTAACGCATATATGTGGAATCTAGAAAATGGTACAGATGAACCAGTTTGCAAGGCAGAAATAGTGACACAGATGTAGAGAACGAATATATGGACACCAAGCGGGGAAAGCAGGGGGTTGGGGGTGGGATGAGTTGGGAGATTAGGGTTGACATATATTCACTAATATGTATAAAATAGATAATTAATAAGAACCTGCTGTACAGCACAGGGAACTCCACTTCACTTTGCTGTACAGTAGAAACTAGCACAACATGGTAAAACAACTATACCCCAATTTAAAAAATAAATAAATAAATAAATAAATCCGATGGGGGGAAATTGCATTATTTCTAGTTCATACTGAAATGCCCATTCAGTAGCTTGTCATGGTACAAAAAGGGGAGGCCAGGACAGTCTTGAAGTTTCATAGAATTAATGTGACCCTGAACTTGAGCTTGAAACCTGATGGAAAATGCTGAATTAAGAGCACTTACTTGAAGAAAAGCTTCCAACTGGGGCAACTTGGGGTAAAGCATATCTTCTCGATAGGAACAGGGCAGTGAGATTAAAGCTAGATTCTAGAACTAGCAAAACTCTTCCAGGAAATGGAAGTAATAAGTAAGGTGAGGTTGATGAGGTCACCATAGGTTAGGCTTGGGCAGTCATCTAATGGGGGTGGAGGTGGGTCATTGTCAGACCAAACCATTTATTTTTTCTGTTGATTAATTTTCAAGGAAGTTTCTAGAACAAGAGGCAATAGGAGGCTTGCTCAGTTATTTCCGGCTTTGGGTCCCTGAGTGGAAATGACAGAGAATATCTTTGCTGGAGTAACAAACTTGCCCTGAAAACAGGAGGTAGTGATAAAGTTGGGAGAAACTGTGAAAAGAAAGAGTAGTGAGTCCTGAATCCTCTAGGAGCTCGTTGCTACCCTGGGTAGGTCTCTTATGTCTTATAGCCTCAAATTTCTCATCTGTAAGATGGGGATAATAATTTCAACCTCAGAGTGCTTCAAGTACCAAATAAGATGAATGTGAAAGTATACTGTAAATCATAAAAGACCAAACAAACACAAGCTAAGATAATAATAGCTAATAATTACCGATCACTGCCTATGAGCCCGGCAGTGTGCTAACAAGTGTGCTTTCCATGCGCTGTTTCAAGGGTGTGATGGTCAGCTGGATAATGTCCCCCCAAAGACGTTCATGTCCTCATCCCAGGAACTTATGAATCGTACCTTATGTGACAAAAGGAACTTGGCATATATGACTAAGAATCCTGAGATGGGGAGGTTATCCTGGATTATCCAGTCAGGCTCTAAGTGTCATCACACAGGTCCTCTTAAGAGGGAGGCAGGACATCAGAGTGAACAGTAGGAGATGTGACAACAGAAGCAAGAGGTCGGAGTGATACAAGGAAGGGGCCATGAGCCAGGGAATATGGTAGCCTCTACAAGCCGCAAAAGACAAGGAAATGAATTCTCCTCTTGAGGCCTCCAGAAGAAACACAGTCCCGTGAACCCATTTTAGACTTCTGACCTCCAGACTGTATGAGAATAAGTGTACGTTGCTTTAAACCACAGAAGGTGTGGTAATCTGTTACAGCAGCCTTAGACAACTAAGGCAGGTGTCATTTCTGGAGTCAGGCTTGTGTGGATTTAAGTCCTGGGACCACCACTTGCTTCATCCATGACATGGAGGTGATAGAAAGGTGCCTGCCTCATCGGGTGGTTAGAGAAATGAGATGACAAGTAGGACCCTCAGCCCAGTGCCTGCCTGGCATAAAATAAGCTCGCGGTTAATGTTGGCAATGATTAGTACCATCTCGTTTAATCACCAGGAAAGCTCTGTGAGATCAATGCTGCTCTCTGCCCCGTGTCACAGAGGAGGAAGCTTAATAAGATTATGAAAACTTACTCATGGTTGCACGGGCCGTAAGTGGCAGAGGCAGAATCTAAATCAGGTCGTTGCCTTTGAGGCCATGGTCACCCACTCTGCTCTTCTGCATCAGGGTTATGACAGTGACATCTCCATCAGATGCCAGCTGCTTAGGCCGGGACACAAGAACCAGATAGAGCAGAGTGCTCCCTGCATGGGCAAAAGCCACCAAGACTGGAAATCGAATAAATCTGTGTCTATTAGGGAAAAAGAAACTGTAGCTGCCGTGGAGATCAGCATCTAAGAGGTTAGCAACCCTCTGATGTCCCTGGGCCGGGCAGCCCCACACGGCAAATCGTGAAGGTCTGAATACTGTGTTTAGTCACTTTGGTTCGGGAATAATTGCTATTATCGTAAATGTTTTATAGCCCTCATTACGGCTCACGTTTAAATATCAGTGTAGTCATACATTAATAAGTCACTGCTGCCGGACGACTGCCGGATGCAGTTAGAATCCAAGCCCGGCATATAACTGTACTGTATATTCAGCTGAATTAGGGCTGGCTGTGAACTCAGCCTGATGTTGAGTTGCTGGGTATGTTTGGAAGGAAGCCTCTTTTCTGCAGAGGCTTCTTGCTCTTTGCTTTTGAGAGATAAGGGGGACACTCAGATTTTTGTTTGGTAGTGAGTCAATGACCCTAACTAGGTATCCCCCAGGTGTGGAGCCTAGAACTCTGGGATGGATAGAAGCAGAAATGAAGGCATTGTTTCTGCCCTGGAGGCATTCCTAATCCGCTGGAGAGGGGGTGGGATGGTGAACATAGCCCTCGCTCCTCGGAAACTCCCTACCAAGGCAGGAGAGCCCGGACCGATGGGAAGGACAGATTCTTCCGCCCTGTCTGATGACATGCTCTGAACACTTCCTGGGTGGATGGAGATAGGATGGATTCACACACACACACACGCACGCACACACACACACATACACACTCATAGAAAAGATAAGCCACGTGAAACAAAATAGCTACGTAGGTTCAACTTCATACAATGTCAAGTGTCTGAATTGGTGTATTAGTAAAGTGCCAGAGTGGGCAGAAGCAGGCAGTGTAAATTCGGTTCATTCCTCTTTATCATACTCTATGCCTCAAATAATGCCAGACGCAAGGTAGGTGCAGAAGAAATACGGGGGGGAGGGAGGAAAAATTATTAGGTTCTGTGCCTGCGTAAATAGATTTCCTCCTGGCCTTTTTGGCCAAAGGCCTTGAAGAATAGCATGGGGTGAGGGGTATGTGGTCCCTGGAATCCTGCTGCGAGTAGTGTCCCCAGGGGAGAAAGCATCTGTGCAGGGCCCCTTGGGTGGGGTGGGGTGTGTACGGGGGCCCCTGTGTGCCAGACACACCTCTGTTTATATTCCCTTGGGGGTTGGGGTTGTGTCAGGGGAACAGGAATGACCAGGACAGGACTAGATTCTCTCCACCAACATCAGTTAAACGGTAGCCTCAATGACTGAGCACATACTGTCTGCTAAGCCTTTTACCAGCCTGGGAGGTAGGTACCATTGCCTGCCTCCTTCTGCCGATGAAGAAGCTGTGGTTAAGAGATGTTGATCATTGGCCTGAGACCACACAACTAGGGTATATAAGACTCCATCTGAACCATGTATGGACCAGGCCTTGGGACTGTAGTAATGCATAAGATAGAAAATGTTAGAGGGCGTTTTAAGAGGAAGATAACGTGTTTACCGAGAGCCAGGGGCAAAAGAAGTCTGTTTTAACCAGTGAAGGCTTCCAAAGAAAGACTCCTTCCTGGGCCAGTGGGACCCCGTGGGAGGGTAAGAGGAGGGGATGGGTGAGAAGAGAGTATCTGATGTGGCCTTGGGGGAGCACAGGAGCAAGTGGCCATGACAAAGGAGCGTACCATGGGCTCTATCCAACTCCTGCTCTTTGGGATGCAAAGTGAGGCAGGTGTGGGTCAGAGAGCTGAGAACTAGGTCCAGTCTTGCCGCGAACGGTTGCCTCTGTCTGCATAGTCACTGAAATAACCGACCCAGACAGGCCCTTCGGCTACATAACATTTCCACCTCTGCACATGGTTTCCTTGGCTGCCATGCTTTCCCTAGCTGGGCTCCCATGATAGGTCCTTCTAGAAGGGTAAGCCCAGGGCCGTACTTACCTACAGGCTGATTTCATTCTGGTCCATTTATGGGGCTCATATCCGTCTCTTCCCTTTTCCCTGTACAAAGATACCAGTCAGTGTCAATGCTGCACTGGAGGAGCCCCCATCCATGGTCATCGGGAGGCACAAGCAAGCAGAGACTGAATCCTGGTGCTCACAGAGCTCACAGACTCACTTCAGACAAGATATGCTTAAAGAGCCAGAAGATGGCTGGAAAATACTCACAAAATAACCTATCCACATAGCATCCTGCATGAGGCAGTATGTATAATGGGCAGAGCAAGGAGTTTGGAGCAAGCGAGTACTGGGTTCAAATCCCATGTCCACAGCTTAATAGCTGTGAGTCCTTGGAAAAGTAGGTTTACTTCTCTGAAGCTCAGCTTCCTCATCTATAACACAAGAATAAAGCCTCCCCTGTAGGGTTGTGTGCAACTAAGCAAGATGTTTTGTATCTGTTTCCTTCTCTCTAAAATGAGGACAAGAATATGTAACTGGTGTTGTAGTTGTGGGAATCAGCGACGTTGTAACAAAGCACTCAGAACACAGTAGGATTTCAGGAGGCAAGCTTATGGCTCCAGGTAGGTAAGTGAGTACTGAGAGGGCAGCAGAGGAAAGGAGGAATCCACTTGGAAAAGGAATCAGGGATTCTCTTATCATCTGGAGACTTGTCTCCGGCTGCTGCACCAACTGACCCATGGCTGTTGATTGATGGTCCCTCTTGCAGTCACATCCATCCCTTCCCCACCTTCCATAAGCATCCTGGTACCTGCCACACTGCTGCCCTGTTGACCTGTTTCTCCTCTCTCTCCGCAGCACTCTCAATAACAACAACATTAGCCGCATCCTGGTCACCAGCTTCAACCACATGCCGAAGATTCGAACCTTGTGAGTAAAGGTCCCCTGCTTCCTCCCCCACCTGCTCCCCACCTTATGCAGCTTCAGAGCATCACTCTCAGCTGCTTGTAAAACCTCACCCTTGGTTCCTACATCCACACACCTCCTCCCTCTGCTACTGACTAAGGTGTGTTGGTGAGCGAGGGCAGACTTGGGGAAGGGTCACAGAGCCATCCATGGTTCTGAACCACCATCCTGCTTCAGGCCAACTCAATTCTCTTCACCCCGGGAATCTTCCTGGACTGGGGAAATCTTCTTTGTGTTTTCCACCTGGATGGAAAAGTTTATGAGTGTTACATCGTCACAGAACTTTTAGAACAGGGATGTGATGATTCATCATTTGTTTAGTTCATGTCCTGTACCACTGGCAGTTCTATCCTTCTGCCAAAGGCTACAGTTGCTTCCCGCTCTGGGAACGGTAGAGGAGGGGGAGTCTTAGCTACCCCTTCACCCCAGCCTCCCACCCGCCACACACCACACTTCGCTGCTCCCTGGATGATATTCTGGTGTCAGAAGGCAGTAACTCCATTCTTTATCTTTAATGTGTTGGGTGGGCTCAAGCCTTCCAGAATGTGTACTCAGAAAGCAGATCTCCCCATGGCGCCCCATACCGAGAGCAGGTCTAGTGCCTTTGTTACCTGGGAAGTTCTCCTCTCTCAGCCAGAAATCCTTTTTCAGTTCCTCTGCAAATGTACTCTGCTGGCCTTTCCAAAGAGCTTCATACTTGATGTTTTTCTTGTGTTGGTGGAGGCCCAATGGAGTTTATATCACAGCAGTAGGGGAGAGTCAGCCCCCAAGAGTAAAGTGCCTCGCACAGAGTAGACAATAAATGGTACTTAGAGTTATATTATTATTATCATCATCGTACTATTTATCCAGAAATCTGGATTAAAAATACCAAGCAACTGAGCAACATTGCATCCAAGCAGATGTGAAAATCCTTAGAGCAGTGGTTCCTGAAGTGGGGGTCCCTAGACCAGTAGTGTCGGCATCACCTGGAACTTGTTGAAAAGCAAAATTGTAGGTCCCACCTCAGACCCATGGAATCAGAATCTCTGGGGTGGACCCAGCCATCTGTTTCTAACAAGCCCTCCAGGAGATCTCAATACTTATAAGGTTGGAGACCCCTGCATTAGTGAGAAGGTGACCTTATCTCAGGTGAGAATGAAGCAAAGGTCAGTGAAGCAATGGATGAGGAGATGATACAGAGAGCCCTCAGAAGGACGCAGAGCTGGGAGTCAGACAGACCTGAGGTTAAATACGAGCTCCGCCACGTACTCTGGGCAAGTTGCTTCATCTCTCTGTTCTTCATAGATAGTGAATTCATAAGCGCTTGCCTCAAAGTTATGGTGGGAGTGACATGTACTAACAGATAAAGTGCCTGGTCATGGTGTCCACACAGCAAATACTAGTTATTATATAGAAGGAGGACCCAAGCTCAGCTTCCATCATTGTGCCCATTTCTTCCTCTGGTTCCTCCTGGGGTAGCAGAATTCAGCCGAGAAAATCTATCTTCTTCCTTTCCTTTTAAAAGAGGGTGGTGGGACTTCCCAGGCAGTCCAGGGGTTAAAACTCCACACTCCCAATGCAGGGGGCACGGGTTCGATCCCAGGTCGGGGAACTAAGATCCCACATCCTACATGCTGCATGGTGCGGCCTAGGTAGACAGATTGATGGATTGATGAAAGGGGATGGTGCAGGAGAAATCACTGGGTCCTCAGGGTGCTGGGCCCGCATCTCCCCAGGCGAGTGGGTTGAATAGAAGAAGTACGGCTCTCACCTGCGCAACCGGTAGTCCAGCTCCTGTGGGCTGCTGCTTTGTGATTTCTACCTCCCCTCCTGTTATTTTCAGTTGAAAAGCATCAATAAGAGAGCAGGGAGGGGTCCACGGGAGGCAGGGAAGGTGATGAGGTCTGGACCTTTGTTGGGTTGTTGTAAGGGTGGGGGAAGAGGGTAGGAGAGTTTTTTCTCCTTGTTTCTGCTGTCATCCTTCCCTGTGGTCCTGAACACTCATCTGACGAGTTCAGATCAATCCATCAATCTCGTCTGTTCTCTTTGCTCCCTGCCTGCTGCCGTCTTCTCTTTAGTTTAATTTCAGAGATGGCTCTGTAGAGAACTCCCCAGAGACTTGAGCTGACTAATCCCCCTTCACTGTAATTAAAGTGCGGTGGTGAGGGGGGAGCGCTGGTGGTGGAGAAAGGGGGGAAGAGGAGAGAGGAAGGAAGTCGTAAATGGGATTTCTAAAGGAAAGCTTTTATATTGAATTCAGAAAGCCACATTTTATAGAAAATGAACGCTGACCCTCTCTAAAAGGATTTGCTGGAAATTTAATTTAGCATCTGTGGCTAAAAGGCACCTTTTACAAATTGGCATTTGTATTCATTCACCTTATCTTCTGTAAAAGTGGTTTCGCCAACATGAAATATGGTGTTTCTGTCTGCAAAGACCACAGAACAACGGACAGGAACCACCCAGCCGCCTTGATGCTTTGGTGGCTAAGAAATGACAGCCTTGTACAGGCAGGGCCTTGGGTTGGGAAGAGCCTGAGGTCTGGAGCTAGTCTCCTCACAGTGAGAATAATAAGAGCAAACATTTCTTCGGTAGTTTACGGGGTCCTAGGCCTTGTGCTTAGCATTTTCCGTGAATCATTTCAATCCTCACAACGGCCCAAGCAAGGAGGCACCATTAATATCCCCGTTTGATAGATGGTAACACTGAGGCCCAGGATTAGATTGCTGCCCAAGGTCAAAGTCGAAAAGCACAGAGCCTATGTCAGGTTCTGGCACTATGACATCAGAACCTGAGCTTGTTCCGTTCAGTAGGAACAAAAGCAGAAGAGCATCAGGTGAGCTGAGGAAGGGGAGACCGGAGCTTCCACATGGCTGAAAGGCCACTGGAGGCCACCCTCCCTGTGTCATTGCCATCACAAAAGTTATTGAAAGTAATTAAGATAATGTCTCTTCTCACTCAAGAAAACTAGAAATACTCCTGGCAGCGTCTGGGCTCAAGTTTCAAGATCATCAAGATTCTTTTTCTTTTGACATTCGTATTTGGGATGACATTGCTCAATTTGATCTACGGAACATGATGTAAAAGGCAGCTTGAAAGACTCTGCCCAGCTCGACTCTCCAGCCCTTCTGCTGCGTAAAATTCCAAGAGGGGGAGATCTGAGCCTGTCCACTGTCCTGGGCTTTTGACAAGAGCCTTCACATGGATTCAAAAGCAGTTTGGGTCACCTCTTTTCGATGGTCGTACTTACAAGAGGAGAAATTCCTACAGAAGTGGACAAAGGGATAAGGGCCATCTGTAGCAAGGTTAAAAAAGGAGGTAGCTTGGGCTTCCCTGGTGGCACAGTGGTTGAGAGTCCGCCTGCCAATGCAGGGGACACGGGTTCGTGCCCCGGTCCGGGAGGATCCCACATGCCGCGGAGCGACTGGGCCCGTGAGCCGTGGCCGCTGAGCCTGCGTGTCCGGAGCCTGTGCTCCGCAAAGGGAAAAAAAAAAAAAGGAGGTAGCTTGGGGTTGGCCAGTGGGGATTAAGGAAAAACCAACATAATATAAACTTCCAAAAGGGAAACCGCTGACATTTTGATTATCCCAGAAATTAATCAGCTCAGTAAGGATCTGACTTACCTAAACCTCATTTTTGTTGTTCCATTGGTCTCTTACCTCTGATTGGAACTGATGGGAATTTGTTTGCATTGATCCGCCTTGTTTCCTTAGCTTCCATGCCTCAGTGCCAGAGAGGGCAACTGCCTTTCCTAATAAAAGCCAAACTCATTAAAAGGCACACAAAAAATTCTGGCACCTCGACCTGGGCATGCCACTGCAGCCTACCTCTGCTCTGCCTTGTCACTAAGAACTGACCCACTGTCACTTTTTTCTTAGACAGCCTTAATACCTGGTGGTGTATTCCTGGCCGCGCAATCATCTCTCTCTCCCTCTCTCTCCCTCCCTCTCTCTCTCTCTCTCTCAGCAGCTCACTGATGGGTCAGGAGACAGATCATTTTCCCTCATGCTGCAATTTCCCAAAATGTCCCGATGCAGAAAAGGAATTCCCTCCTCCCCTTCATACTCTTTGGGAAAGAGTAACCAGCTCCAAGTCCAACACCAGGCCCCCCTCCACCCTTGGCACAAAGTGGTCATCTTTGTTGAATACACAGAGGTCTTGCCTTCCTTCTTAGAAATGAGGTCCTTCCCTCCAGGTTAGGATTTTGCCTTCCCTGCCCCTGCCCACCTGTCGTACCTCTTCCTGGAGTGCCAGACTAAGAGGGAGCCAGGCTTGTTTCCACAGCATCGGGGCCTGAGCTTTGATGTTCAGAGGCGAGCATTGCTTGGGGCCCATTATAGGCGCAGTATCTTGGTCCTGGGGGTATATGTAGTTGTCTTTGACTTTTAAGTATTGGCTCTGAAATACAAAAAGAAAATTATAACATCCAAATTAATCATGTTTCAACAAAATCGTAAAAAATCTTTTCAAATATTTTTCAGCGGAAAAAAATGCCATTCTAGGTGGGATATGGGTTCGTTTAGTCAGTCTGATGTTATGGGATCTGGGACCCCCACCCTGAGTCTGCCAAGGTCCCTGGTGGCCCTGGCCTGCCCGAGGTTTGCACCCGTGCAGGACCAGGGAGCCTCTGCTGGCAGGCAGCGCAGATGAGCTACACTTGGCCAATGTTTAGCAATGTTGACCTTACGCTAAGTGGAGTGTGGTCAAGAGCCCTTCAGCTGTCTCCATTTCAGACATGGATGTAGGCTGAGCCACTGCTTCGGTCTGCTACTCAGTATTAACTGGCATGACACAGAGTACTTGAAAGTCCCAAGATATTGCTGGCTGATGAGCAGATGCAGGATGGGGCAGTTGAAATTTGCATCAGAAAGCCAAGTGTATGATAAGCTGTCGTGACTAAAACTCACCTACCGCCACTGCTAATGATCTAAGTTTGTAGGGACTGTGGAAGTTGGAAACCCCTGATGCAGAAACCTTGGGGAAGAACCTTTAGGATCCCCTGGGTATCCTTAGGTTGCCCTCCAGACAGTGGAAAGGAAATTCAACTTAAGCAGATGAGGCTCCCCTCAGACGTGGAACCTGAAGATTCCTCTCAGGAATCTTATTCACTCCAGGGTGAGAAGCTGAGCTGGAACCACAGCTACTAGAGGGAGAAAGCCCAGGAGTCCTGAAGATGGATCAAAAGCCTTTTCAGAGGCACCGAACCAGTCAGAATAGCAAATACACCAGGTGGACTTGAACTTGGGAAGGCTATGAAGGGCACTCTGGAGAAAGTGCTGTGGATTACAAGAGTCTGTAAACACCTTATTTAAATAGGAGGGTGAAGAGAAGGTGCATCCTTCAGAAAGTACCCTTCTCTCTGTTCCCTGCTTACGCTAGCTAGTACACACAGCGGTATTGGTTTTAGGCTCACCAGCATGACACACAGGGGGTCCATTAAAGGGACCCTTAGAGAGAAAACGAAGGAAGGAGAGGAAAGACAACAGCAGATCTCTGCCACAGTTCACCACAGACTGGAGCGTGGAGATTAAGAAGCTGTTGTAAAGCATCTGTAACCAGGGCTAGCTAAAGTACGGAAAGCTACACCTGAGTCACGCTTTTGGAAGTTTGACCTGAATCAGGATCATCGCTGTAATAATGTCACCCTCCCTCTGCTATGGGTTGAGCCTTTCCTGAGTGGGAAAGAAAAGGGTGGAATTACTATTAAAAAATGGGAATTGCTCAGAAGCCTGGAGGCCTCCCTTGGATGTGGCCGGCACGAGAAGATGACTGTCATTTGTGGCTGGGCAATCACAGGGTTGAGGCTCCTGTGGTGATTCCGCAGTGCAGAGGACAGTGCTCCCCTGGGCTCCCAAGGACTGTCACACTGGGCAAAGGGCACGGAGGTTCAGCCCACTCTATTCAGACAGTGGCACCCTCCCCACTTCCTGCTGTGACGGCATCTTCCCTCTGTCCCTCCCTCTCCCAGGCGCCTCCACTCCAACCACCTCTACTGCGACTGTCACCTGGCCTGGCTCTCAGATTGGCTGCGACAGCGGCGGACCATCGGCCAGTTCACTCTCTGCATGGCTCCTGTGCACCTGAGGGGCTTCAACGTGGCGGACGTGCAGAAGAAGGAGTACGTGTGCCCAGGTGAGGTGACCCCACCACTCCCCTCCCCTCCTGTCCTGTGACTCGCCCACCTGTGAGCTCTCCTTAACATCACCTGGGCCTTGAACACACACCCCAGAGCTCGGTGTGGAGCCTCGCAGGTTGCCCCAGCATTCGCCAGTCACTTAAAGAACTCTAAGGTGCCTCCGTGTGTTCCAGAAAAGAGGCTCTTGCCATCTGATAAAGGAAAATGCTCAAGGAGCTCATGAATCACTTCCTGTTAAGCCTCAGAGTCCATTAGGTACTTTAGCATTGGCCAAACCCGTTCCTGTCGCCCATTTGCTCCTAGAAATTGAGAGTCAGGCTAATAGAGGCTGTGAGGTCAGCCTGCTTGGCTGGAAATCTTAGCTCTGTCCCTTAATGGTGTGTGACTTTGGTAAGTTACTGCATGTCTGCAAAATAGAAAAAATCGTAGTCCATAACTCCAGGGATGGGTGGGAGGATTCAATGAAATAATGCATATAAAGCACTTAGCATAATACACAGCACTTGGTAAGAGCTAATGAGTGGAGCTTAATTATTATAGTTTAGTGGGCCCACAAAATGCTGAGCAAACACGAGAGTTTGATCTGTGGGTAATCGAACTGTAATAGAAGTACAGGTGCCCATGTAGTGCTGAAAACAGAGCTGTGCTTGCACATGACTGAAGGCAGCTCATCTCTCCAGGATGGGAGGTGGCTGAGTGACCTGAGAAAAGTTTCCCAGAGGATGTCGCCTTTGCCTTGGGTCCTAAATGTTGTTTGCTTGTTTGTTTTTACTTTTCATTGACATTGCCCAATCCCATCCATTCTTCTCTTTTCTGGTGGCAAGGAAGTAAGCTAATCTCTTGATTTCCTCAAAAAAAAAAAAAAGAGTATTCAGTTGAGGAGTTCCCCAAAGATGCATTCCTGAGATCCAGGAACTCAGTCCTGGAATTGGGAACCAGTGGCTTCTAAAGGCTGCTCTGCTGCTTTCTCCTGTCATGTTCCAACTTTATCAAGTCATTTAATACCCAAAAACACTTTAACATGTTTCAGAGCAGTACCTCAACAATTTGCTATAGACGCCCACTTAGAAATCACTTTCCATCAAACACATAATAAAACCGTTTATCACACAGACACCCAACTCAAATATAGTGACTGTAATTACAGTAATTATTAGGAAAAGGGTACAATATCGGCATAAGTGCCAGTGAAAGAAATAATTATAGAGTGCAGGAGTCATCCAAAAGCTATTGAGAAAAACTAATTAGGGAGGAGGTTAAAACACATTATTATGGGTGGGTACAAAGTTTAAAGCTGCACACCAACACGAATGCCAACACGAAGGTGCTTCGTCACGAAAGCACCTTCCCATCAAGGGAGCGCCGAGACATTGGCTTACCCAGCAGCAGTCAGGACTCAAAACCCAGGGCCGGGAGGCTGATCCTCCTGGGTCCTGGAAATGTTACTGCCCCAGGTCTCCCTCCTCTGAAAAAGCTGGATCTCACAGGTGGGTTAATAGTTACATAGGTGACTATGACCTTTATCATATCCCCTGTTTATAGCTATCAAAGCCCATTGCTAGTGATGGGCTGTGACTTCTTCACACGAGGCCAGGTGTCTTTTAAGGACACGAGAATTTAATCCACAGACTGCAGACATGAATATGCTGTTAATCTCCACCCTCTCACTAGTAGTATGAATTTAGGGGAGTGACATATTAGGGCCCCTATGCGTGGGGGAATTTTTTAGATGCTTTTCCCAGGCTCTCAAGGCTTCAAAATAGGATGCTGTGCAGGGCGACGTTCTGAAAAGTCAGTCAGATACAACGGCAGGGAGAACTGGTGAATTGAACATCTGTAACGAATGAATAACCGCCCTCATTAGTGGGGTTCAGGAGGAGCACCCTCTCCCAAAAGTACTACGTCTTTCATGATTTGTTCAAGGTAGGTGGTGAGGCTGTGATAAAAGGATGCCAGAGGAAGCAGCGTGGAGCAAGACAGCCTGTGCACGCACAGGAGGTCAAAGAGATGGGCTATTTTCATGTACCGACCAAGCCCCCTACCATGAGATGCAGCCCACTTCTGAGGGTGCAGGGCCTGCCCCACGGCAGAGCCCAGCGAGGCATCCGAGTGAGGCGGTTTGGGACAGACCTGATGGCCCTTGTTTAAAGCTGCAAAACCACCAGGGTCCCTCCTCGTCCAAGCTATTCCTCCCATAACCCGCAGGAGGAGGACTTCAGTCAGGAAAGGAGGAGCATGGACATCTCTTAGAAAATAGAAGTCGTCCGCTCAGGAGAAAGAAAGGCATGGGGCAGCAATTAAACCATCCCTATGCGTATTCATCACCAGCGGCCCCTGTTGAGGCAGCCTTAGAAAAACCTCCCTGCGCCCCTACACGGTATCGAAAAATTCACCCAACGCATGACTCCAGAGACAGGAAAGAGCTTTATCTCTCTCAGCCTGTGAGGGCCCTGCCTGCCCACGTCCCTGATATCTGCCTTTGAATCAAATCTGGCTGTCTGGAGCCCAGCCTCTTCTCCCCAGAAGTCCGGCCTACTGGTTCCTTATCACCGCAGCTAACCCAGAAGTTTGCTGGTGGCGCACTCTGGCAAAATTCATCCCCTCTGTCAACGGTCCCCTTCAATCGAGGGCATTTGTTTTCCTCTCCTGGGGAGACAGCTGGGCATTTTTCACAAGGGTGGGAGACTCTTATTTTATTTATTATTAACAGTTTTCTATGATATGCAACAGGACTGCTTGGTTTCCTTTAGCTCTTGCTGAAAGGATTTCTCTGTTCATTTTCCTTGTTTTAAGGGGAAGTTAGGGCCCTAGGACTAGAAGGGTCCCTCAGTGGACTTTATGAGTTCATACAGCAGATTGGAGAAAAGGTTCTGCTTTGGCCATGATTAGGCTCACATGAGTTGCAAGTTGAATTTTTTTTCCATCCTTAGCTAAAGGGCTTATCTCGGAGTTTAAACTCTAGGATTTGTCTTCCATGTGTCAATTTTCTGATCCCTTAATCTGAGAAAGTTTCTACCAGTTACAATTTGTAACTCAAGGGTAGTAGCTAAATATTTGACCTCTTGAGTCAGTTATCTCTTTCCTCTGAATATCTTTGAACCCATTGGTTTGTCCACCCATTTCACATGTATCTGTCCTTTGCCTTTGAATGTGAGATATATTTTCATGAAGATTAATCTTGTCTTCTAGTAATAAGGGGCCATGTCTTACATTTTTTTCCGGTGCCCCAATACCTAGAGTAGTGCTGGATCCTAAGAGCCTCTCAACAAACTCTTCCTCAGTTATTATTAAAAATGAAATAGGTGTATCTCCTTGGAAACAAGAAACTTCTTCTTTTTTTTTTTTTTTAATTTGAGACTAGTTACTAGGTATAAAGTTAATTAAGGTGAGCCATGACTAGCCACCCATTTCCTTAGGAGGTTTTAATTAAAACACCATAATTGGACATTGAAGGAATGAGATTATTAGGTTTATTTAGGCATTCTCCAAATTATCATGCCTCTGGTATTTAAATCACATTCATTTATATTCTCATCATAATTGCTCAAGTCCCATTGTCATTGCAGTCTGTTGTTGGCTTTTGAAAGACCAGAGGCCAACAGGGATGCTTAATTTGAATACTGGAATTCATTTATTTCCACGCGCTCACGAGGCCAGTTGATTTTCCAACTCTCCACACTCTACTGGGTGAAGTCCTCTTTAAAGACAGAAAGAAACAACGGCTCTAATGCAGGAGTGTGCAGCCATCTCCAGGGTAGCTGACACAATACATGTCTCACCCCTGAGCCTCCTTTCCTGCTTCCTGAGCTTCCAAGGCTTTGATGGTTTTCCACTTCATGGCAATAGAGAGGCATGGTGGGTGTCTTTCTGGCAGAGGAGATGGTAGAAGAGCCCTTCTATTATGGGAATAATAATAATGGATCTACGACAGGGGTTTTATGAGCATCAAGTGAGGGGATATATACAAAGCACGCAATGCAGTGCATAGGAAACATCCTATAAACGTTAGCTACTATTATGAGAATGATGGTCATTATTAGATTGGCCACGACTGTGTCCACGGGCAGGTACACTCCTCTCTCAGGGCTTCTGTTTCCCCCACCATCTCCATGGCCCTCTCTGGGTCTGGAGCTCGGTGACCTCTGCCCCACTCATCTGGGCAGACAAGTTAGAGCCTTTGGCTTTCAGGGTGATGATCGTTCCCATTTGCCAATGAGCAGAAGAACAGAGATGGGGTCAGAGCTGGGCAATCATCATATCCCCGGTCACCTCTCCATCTTTCTTCTTTCTCAGACCTGGAGGGAGAATTGTGCAGTCAGCAGAGGGAGGATAATTGGTACAATGTCCATGCCGGTGACCACAGGCACTTGCCCTGTGAGAGGTCTAGCTGGGAACACGTTCCTGCCCTCTCGCTCGTTGACAGCCCCCTGGGCTGGGAAGCAGCTCCCTTGATGACCAGTAAGAGTGGGAAGGGCCAGCACCTCCGTTCCCCCCAAGCTCTGCTCTGCCCTCCCTCCAGACATCAGGCCACAGTCCAGGGAGTCTTAGGAGACATCTGAAGGGAGGCCGGGCATCTCAGCTACCTCCTTATTAGGCACAGAGGTGGCTTTGGCTCCAGATTGAAATTCCAGAGCTGCAGTGATTAAGGAAAGGTGAGATGGGTCCCCAGAAGAGAGACAGGTACTCGGCCCACATCCCCATCTTCCTACTCTGATCAGGACATCCTTCCACCCCAGGGCAGTAGCATTTTAGCACTGGGAATGGAAGAGTTCTGAGAGCAGAGAACCTGGGCACTTATTTTATTTTATTTTATTTATTTTTTTTTTTTTTTGCGGTACGTGGGCCTCTCACTGTTGTGGCCTCTCCCGTTGCGGAGCACAGGCTCTGGACGCGCAGGCTCAGCGGCCATGGCTCACGGGCCGAGCCGCTCCATGGCATGTGGGATCTTCCCGGACTGGGGCACGAACCCGTGTCCCCTGCATCAGCAGGCGGACTCTCAACCACTGCACCACCAGGGAAGCCCCTGGGCACTTATTTTAAAATGAAGAAAGGAAGAACAAGCCCGCATGCACTCCTAAGTTTATAAGAGAAGGTCTTAGAAAGTACATGACAGGGGGTCTGCTTGCTGGTTCATCAATGCGCTCTGATTTAAGGCCCTTGCTGTGCCAGGGAGAAGAGGCAGTGGTACCAGCCGGCAGGCTCCCTCGAGGACCATAAGGATTCCTAGCCCCCCTGAGAACACATTATACAACAGGGACACACACGTGCATGCAGGTAGGCACCCACCTAGAGAGGCCCTTTCCATCAAGGAGACGCAGAGACTCCTTCTACCCCAATATAAAAACTCTGCTCGCGTTCCTCTCTTCTTCCTAGCTCGTAGTCATAGCATTTTCTGGGTAGAAAGGTAGGTGTTTCCTCACTTTGTCCCCCTTGGAAATCTACTGTCTCCTGCGTCACTCTCTTTAGCCTCAATGTGTGTGGACAGGAAAGGCTGGGCGGGATGGATTTGCTGACAGAGGTCGACAGAGGACCTAGGACACCTGACCTGTGCAGGTGAGCTAGGCTCAGAGGGGGCCTCAGGGGACTGGACAGTTGGCCTTTGCTGTGATAGAAAGACCTGAGCTTCGGTCACGAGAGTCCTGTCCGCCCATTTCCACTCCGTTTCCCCACTCTGAGGCTGATGCTATGGGCCAGTGCCCAGGGCACTCAGAACTCAGAGCGCCTCCCCTCACGGTCCTTCCAGAAGAATCGTTCACCTCCGTAGCTTGGTGGCATTCGGTCCCCATGTCTCTAAGGCTTCTGGGGCAATTTCAATCATGTATTCATCCTCTCACTCACCCAAGGTGTGTTTATTGAGTGTTTTGTGCCAGGCCCTCTTTTAGGCACTGAGGATATAATAATGAATAAGACAGAAAAGGTCACTGACCTTGTAGAACTTATATGCTAGTCTCACTCTGTGCAGAGACAGAAAGCAAAGGGGAAGGACTCCCACCACACAGGACTCAGAGACCCAGAGGGAAATAGGCTTGGTTCCTCCAGCATTGATTAAGGGGGAGTGTTGCCAGGGAAAGCAAACTCATCTTTCAACCCCGGCTTAAACCTGAAGTGTTTTGTTTCAACCAGAGAGTAGCATCCTTGCCATGTGTGAATACCTAGCTGGGGAGCTGCCAGCCCGGGATGCTGACAGAGACTATAATTACCGTTGTTTCTCTCTGCGTAATAAAAGGTGTCGTTAGTGACCTGGTTAAGGAAGCTTTTCAAATCCTGTTTGGCCTTGACAACATCCTTTGCAATGTAGCACACCCTTTCTTCCAAATCAGAGCCACCCTGTGAAAGACACTGCTCGTTCCCAGAGGGACTCAAGGCTGCGGCCTGGGTCTGGTTGAAACAGAATTCATTTCAGCACAGAAGTCAGAAGGGGTACCTTTGAAGAAACTCCATTTCAGAACTTTCTGTTGCCCATGTGAGCCCTAAAACATAATGCCTTTCTTCCGCTCTTTTCTGACACACCCCATTAAGTAATATTTTGACAGATCAAAAGAGGGATGGCCTTCTGATGCCCTGTGCCTCAGTGGATGGAAAGACAAGTGCTCAGGCTCAGGGCTCCATGGAGCCCCTGATGCTTCCCATCCAGGAAGGTGCGGGATGTGGCGTGTCTCCCTGGCTGGTCAGGCACCGGAGCCCCTTGATATTCAGGGCCAGGCATGGCAGTTTTCTTTGGGGAGCACCATCTACACTTCAAAAGCCCTGACGCCTGCAGTCCTGGCGCTCCCAGCCTCCGTGGGAGGATGCAGGTGAGGGGACGCGAGCCCTGCCCACTGTAGATCCTCTTTGCCAGCTGCAAAGAGATGCAGCAGAGGAGGGAAAGCTTTTAGGTGTCTTCTGATCCTTCTGTTTCCACTTTTCTGAAGAACAGCAGTCGATCTCTAGACCCAGAAAGGACTTCAGAAGTCACGCAGTCCAAACTTCACCAAGATGGCAGCAGTAAAACTCGGGGGCGGGGGTACTGTGACTTGCCTGTGGTCTTGTAGACAATTCGTGGCAGAGCCAGACCCATTATTAATAATAACAACAACAGGACTTCCCTGGTGGTCCAGTGGTTAAGGCTCCACGCTTCCACCACAGGGGGCGAGGGTTCGATCCCTGGTCTGGGAAGTTCTGTGTTCTGCATGGTGCAGCCCCAAAATAATGATAATAATAATAACAAAAACAATAACAAATAACACGACTAAGCGCTAACTCTTTGCCAATGCCCCTTCTAAATATTGATATTTTACATGCATTAAATTTCCTTTGCCTTAGCAATAAAGCCATGCTATGAAGTAACTATGGTCGTTTTCCCCATTTTACAGGTAGGGGAAACTGAGGCACGGGGACATAAGGATGATAGGATAGAACCAGGGTTCAAATTGAGCCAGTGGGTCTCCAGAGCCCACACTCTGGGCCACAACAGTCTCATTCCTGATCTGAGGTTCTTACAGGCTGGCTGTCTGGGGTTGTCATTTTCTCAGAAATGTAAAGACTTTCCCAGTTTGGAACAAAGCCAGCACCACCTCTCTCTCAGAGAATGTTCCACTTGGGGATTTTAATGTAAGTTGTCATCTCTCTGGCATTTTCCATGGTCTCTGTTAGATCCACTAGTGTGACACTGGAGAGTTTGAAGTCCTTGTACCCTAGACAAGAATATTTGCTCGAATGTTCCACTTAAGAGGATGTTTTTAAATTGTGTGTGTGTGTGTGTGTGTGTGTGTGTGTGTGTGTGAAAGTGAGGCCAAGGGAAGTAAGAATGTTTGGCCACTGGGTTGCACTTTCTGGCAAAGTAAATGTTCCAAATTAAGCCATAGGCATCGATTTGAGTCTTGCAGAAGGACCACCCCCAAGTATAGGGACTGTTGAACGTGGAGAGGGGAGCCTCTGCTTTAAGGCTCACTCACTGTCCAAACGAGGACTTGCCCCAGGCCCGGTCAGTCCTCTGGTTCTACCACTGTAGCTAGACTCTCTCTGGCTTCCCAGCCTCAGCCTCTCCAGGGGCCAAACCAAAATCATCTTTGCCTACAGATATTTTCCATGCTTCACATTTAATCTCTCTCCAAGAGTCCCCAGCCAGACGGTCCATGTCTGAGCAGTGAGGATGTTTGCAGAGTTAGTCGGAGTTTGGTCTCAGCCCATGGCCCTTTGCTCAGGGAGGTGGATCTGGAAAGACATTGAAATCATCCCTGCTAGCTGGATCCCCAGGAACGGGATAAGGTCCTGAGAAGGCCATTGGGTTGAGTTTACCTTTTGGACCACGGTGTCCACAGTTGAAAGACTAACCACAGGTTTGCGATTCTTACCTTACTTTGAAGAAACAGTCATAGCTGTTATACAGCGTCTTTAAAATGTTTGAATTTACTTCTGTTAGCAATTTGGTGTGACCACCAGAGAAAGTGATTAAGATTCTTATGACTCTTTGAATCTTGAGTTAGTTTGCTAATATGTTTATCTTCATTCGGCTTTCTAAATAAGCTCCTTCCTTGCCATTTTCTTGGGTTTTTTTTACCACTTTGTGATAAATTCATATGGGTTCTCACCTCAAACAAAACTAAGACTCCGGGCTTCCCTGGTGGCACAGTGGTTGAGAGTCCGCCTGCCGATGCAGGGGACACGGGTTCGTGCCCCGGTCTGGGAAGATCCCACATCCTGCGGAGCGGCTGGACCCGTGAGCCACGGCCGCTGAGCCTGCGGGTCTGGAGCCTGGGCTCTGCAACGGGAAAGGCCACAGCAGTGAGAGGCCCGCGTACCGCAAAAAAACAAAAACAAACAAACAAACAAAAAAAAACTAAGATTCCAAAATATGTAGTAACTTATTCACTTTTTTCCTAATGAGATAAGCTTTATTTGCATGTTCTTTGGACATAAAAGCTGTTTGAAAAGGCCTTGGATGTCGCTGTTGATGGCTCTGTTGACACTTGGGCAACATCAGTGCCCCAAGTGAGGAAATTCTGTCACCTTTTCTCTTCCCACTTGGTTTTGATAGTGATTTCCAGCCACTTGAGAAAGAAATGAAGGCGTGTCTACATGTGGTATCCAAGCCCCAGATAAAAGCCCAAAACCCTGGAATGTCATTCAGACATTGGACTCCCTGAAAAAGTAGTCCCAGTGTATGCTCTTTGCATACCAGGGGCATATTTTCATGTGTGATTGATTCTGAGAGCAACTCTGTCTCTGAAAGACTAAGGATGAGGGGATGACAGAGCGAGTGGAACAGTCTAGAAATGGTCAGGTCAAGGGTAGACTCTCTCCTCTTGGCTGAATGTTTAGCCAGAGGCAGCTGTGTCTCCCAGCTGAGGGCCGATGTTCGCTGGTGATGATTTTTCAGGTAGCTGATCAGGTAACGCTGCCTCCTTGGGAAGCTGGTTGAGAGACACAGAGGCCCAGGCGGCTGCTGACACTGACGTGAATTGACCATTGTGTTCTTGTCCCACAGGCCCGCACTCAGAGCCTCCATCCTGCAATGCCAACTCCATCTCCTGCCCTTCAGCCTGCACTTGCAGTAATAACATCGTGGACTGTCGAGGGAAGGGCTTGATGGAGATCCCCGCCAACTTGCCAGAGGGCATCGTTGAAATGTAAGTGCCTGTCTGCCGCCCTCTGTCCCTGGCGAGTTCGCCTCTTGGTCTCAGCCAGTCCCCCACAGGCTGGCGGCATGCTGGGCTGTTAGAGCTGACTGTTGAAAGCACTCAGCAATCTCTTTGCTCTCTTTCCAGGCTTTCCCAGGTATGATAGCTCAGGGGTCAAGAGCATAGATTCTAGAGCACAGTCAGCAAATGACAGCCCATGGGCCAAGTATGTCCACCACCTATTTTTGTAAATAAAGTTTTATTGGAACACAGCCACACCCATTCATTTATGTATTGCCTATGGCTGTTCTTGTAGGGCATTACTGAATAGTTGTGACAGAGGAACTTACAGCCCACCAAGCCTAATATATCTTCTGTCTGGCCCTTTGCAGTAAAGGTTGGCCAGTCCCTGCCCTAGAGTCACCCCGGGATTATATCCTGGCTCTACCATGTACTAGCTGTTTGTGATTATGGGCAAAACAATTGCTCTCCCTCGTCTCTAGTATTCTCATTTATAGTAATGTGATAATTATAGTATTACTGAACGGGTCATTGTGAAAACTAAATGAAATACCACATGTAAAGCACTTAATATAGCCCTTGACAGAAGGGCAAGCCTTCTATAAAATGGTGGTGGAGGAGGAAAGTATACAAATAATGAACTGATTTCACAGCTACTGTTACTGAGCAAGAGACTGAGCTCTTAATCATTTCAAATCAGATTATTGTCGTCTAGGTTAGACCTTTAGGTAATGAGACAAGATTGTGTGTGTCTATGTGTGTGCACAGGTATCCAAAACTCCAGTAAAATTTGTTTGTCCCCGTAGCTTAATCTTGTCCACTCTTCTCTCATATGTTAGAAAATGGCCAGTGTCTCATTCTGGATTGAGTAGAGGGTCAGTGAACATTGACCTGAAGGTCACTCTTTACATGACAATAACTGTTTTCATTTCTACCTTCATCTTTAGATGGCTTTATTAAACACATGATTAGATGGAACCCCCCCAACTAGAAACATCATTAGATAAAACCCTCCAAATAAAAGATATTTTATACATTTCCCTCACCTCTCTGCTGCATCATCTCCTCTCCCTCCTCTCCCTCCCCCTCCCCCTCCTCTCCTTCCTCCTCCTCCCTTTTCCCCTCCCCCCTTCCTCTTTCTCCTCTTATGCATGCCCTTCTGTTCCCAATGCATTCCAATAGATGACCCATTGACCCTTTCATTCATTCATGCACTCATTCAACAAACATCTATTGTGAGCCCACTGTGGTCCAATCATTGTTCTGTGCTTAGGGAGCAGCAGTGAACAAAATAGGCCAAATTTCTGCCTTTATGGTGCTTGCATTCTAGTTGAGGGAACAATGCAACAAACAATAAACAGAACAAAGTGAATTAGATATTATGTTAGAAGATGGTAGGTTGGGTGGAGAAAAATAAAGAAGTGAGTGAGCGAAAAAGCAAGTGGATATCTGGAGGAGAGTATTGCAAATAGAGGGGACAGCATGCACAAAGGCCCTGAGGTAGGACTGTGCCTGGTATACCAGAAGGCCAGTGTGGCTGGCGTGGAGGAAACACAAGGAAGAGTGTCAGGGAATGAGGTCAGAGGGGTAATGAGGGGCCAGATCATTTTAATGACTTTGGTTTCACCCTGATTGAGATGAGAAGAAACATATAACTTACAACAGGGGAGCCTTTGTTTCTTCTTTCTTCAGTTGCTTTGTCAGCTTTTCTCTGATTCCCTTTCAAACGTTCTTCCCCAGCCCCAGTGGACACAACCCATGCCTCCACACCCTTCCCACAGGCAGCAGCTAGTCAGCCACGTGTGTTCTTTTGGCCCTGAAATCCACACCTTCTGTACCTTCCTCCACCTTCACTCAGCCGTCAGTCTTCTATTAGCAAAAACCAACAGTGAATTCCCTTTGTGCTTTGCTGTGACTCTCCTTCACTCCTTGTGGTCCCTTGCTCTAGCCTTGGAGAGCCCTTCCTTCCTGGGACTTCACTTAGACCTCACACCTGTCCCGCCCATCCCCACCCCCTGCCCTTCGTCCCCCATTTCACCCTACACCTGTCCCTCCTCTCTGCCTTTTCTGTACCATTCCCCCATCTCTTTTTCTCCCTCCCTTGATCCACCCCCCCCTTCTTTCCCTCTCTGCACCCACAGTCTTCCCACCTTCCTCCCCAGCCCAGTCTCTTTCTCTACCCATTTAACCCTGTGCTCCTCATTACAAGAGCCATCCCCTCTATCCATGCCAGGGTAGGACGCTGGGCCTCCCAACAAGGGTGTCAAGACAGAACTCCTGCCAACGTTCATCTCATTTCAGATTCCCATAGCACCTTGCTTTCTTTCTCTGCCCCGCCTTGTTCCTTTCCGCTTCCATCTGCCAGTTTTTATCTTTTCTCTTTGGCAACCACAGACCTTCCGCTGACCAGGTCTCAGACCACAGCCGTCCCCACGCCTGCCCTGATTCAGGAGCTCGGGCCTGCCCACCCGCCTCTCCCACTCTACATCCCTATACCTCCAGCCTGGGCCTCACGGGCACACAGCTCAGGTGTCTGGGGGAGAGAAATTACAGACGTCCCCACTGGAGATGCGACCCATGGAGGCCAGACCATACCTGGGCCATTGGGCTCACACCTGGACATTGAATTTTAAAAGGAACGTTGACAAGCTAGACTAGTTATTTCTGAAAGGCTGTCTGATTATTACTGAGTTTTTCCTTAAATGAGGTCAAGTAAGAATAACAAGAACAGGGCTTCCCTGGTTGCGCAGGGGTTGAGAGTTCGCCTGCCGATGCAGGGGACACGGGTGCGTGCCCCGGTCCGGGAGGATCCCACATGCCGCGGAGCGGCTGGGCCCGTGAGCCATGGCCGCTGAGCCTGCGCGTCCAGAGCCTGTGCTCCGCAACGGACGAGGCCACAGCAGTGAGAGGCCCGCGTACCGCAAAAAAAAAGAATAACAAGAACAATGTGATATTTTTGCATTGAGCAAAAATATTCCATTTCAAGAAGTGTCCTTTGTTTTAAATTTCTAGACTTCCTTACTCTGTTATCATTGTTGTTAAAAATACTCTTCATTTTATAAAATGATGGCCACTGAAGGATGAGTATGTAATATAAATATGTGTTTAATCATATGTGTCATTATTATTATATAATTATAAGTCTATATATAAATGTTATATATAATAGACACACAGAGATTGCCTTAATTGACAAAATAAGAGGTCTGTAACCACCTAGCCTATGAAATCTAGAAGTCTGGGAATGGCCAACCTAGCTAGAGTACTTCTAAAAATAAGCAGCCACAAACAGCAAGCACGGTCTTAAGAGTGTAGACCGTGAATCCAGGCAGACCCACATTTTAGCTCTGCCCTGCCTTTCAGCCATTGGCAAATAACGTTTCTGAGTCTTGGTTTACTCAACTGAAAAATTCAGAGGCTAGTGGTACCGTCTTAATGGTTTGTGTGAAAGTGAAATGAATATATGCTATCAGATGCTTAGTATTGGGTCTGGCACAGAGGATATACTATGTTAGCAGCGACTGGTATTCTTTTACTACAACTGCGGCTACCACTACCACCACTTTTATATTAGGCATGGTGAGAAAGGTTGGAAACCACATCACAGGAGCTGAAGCTACCTGTGGAACATCCCTCCATAAAGCTCCGTCAGTTCTTTGCAGACTATGGTTGAGAGAACAGGTTCAAGAATTAGGCTAGACACTTGCATTGTGAATTGAGCCTGGCAATAGCTCATGTTCATACAAATGTATGCAGACATGCAAATAAGGCTGCCCCTGCTGACCGGGCACACACGACCCACCAGACAGATTGCCTAGAACTCCTCTTGCTGTGTTTGCCTCATTCTCCTCTGTGATAAAATAAAGCTGAGGCATTAAAGCAGATGAGGCAAGATTCTCGGGTTAGATACTGGGAGAGGTGACATGTAAGAGAGACCTTTGCAGAGGAAACCTGTTTGTTCTCTGAGGCAACGAAGCTCGTGCCTGGGGATCTGTGTGTTGGCCTAAAAGTCTTTTTTTTTTTCTTTGCGGTACGCGGACCTCTCACTGTTGTGGCCTCTCCCGTTGCGGAGCACAGGCTCCGGACGCACAGGCTCAGCGGCCATGGCTCACAGGCCCAGCCGCTCCGCGGCATGTGGGATCTTCCCGGACCGGGGCACGAACCCGTGTCCCCTGCATCGGCAGGCGAACCCTTAACCACTGTGCCACCAGGGAAGCCCCTAAAAGTCTTTTGAGCAGTTAAAATTCATCCTCTTATCAATGAGAGAAGACCAGCAGGTGGGGGAGGTTGAAAGATGAGAAAGAGGGAGCAGAGAGGAGAAACTGTAGCATACACCCCAAGATGCACAGGAAGTGTCTGATTTATCATCCCAAGGACATCTGAACATGACTTCTCTTTTTACCATCAAGAATTCCACCTCATGTCCATAGCCACCTATATAACCCAGATTTCTCCTTCTCTTTAGCGTCGCTCTGCACCACATCTGGTTCTCTGTTCCCTATATGTGCAATCCTTAGCTGGTAGTGATGCTCTTGAACCTTGGGAGGGGTTCTGCACTCCCCAACATTCAGGGGAAGGAAGGTCTATCTCTCATGCAAAGCAATCTGGCAGACTCTTTTAGATTTTTTTCAAAGCCAAGGCAGCTCAGAGAAGTGTGCACTGGTCTCCCTGAATAGCAGAGCCAATTCCTCTAAAAACAGCTTTCTTCCAGAGAACCCACAGTGAGACAGTTCACTGCAGATTTTCCTCAAAACTGAGCTCCCACCAACAGCACTGTTCTTGCTGCTCCGTGTCGTTTCTCTGAACCCGCTCCAGCCTCCAGCAGGGATAGATTCTGGGAAGAGCCAGAGGCCCACACGTTCTTCTGTTCTGTGGTCTTCGTTCCGCCCTCCTGGCCTCAGGGCTCGAGAGGGGCCATCTGTACCTAGAACCTCATCTTCATCTCTGTCCCATCTTCTTCCATATTTGCTCTATACCTCCACTTAGTG